CAGGAGTCACCTCAAATTCCCAAAATTTCACTGACAGGAGGAGGTGGCTGCGACATCCCCTGGCACCGTCACTGGTGGCACCGTCCCAGTTTGGTGCTGGAATGCTGGGATAGGCAGAATCTGTGGGATGTGCCTTTGTCCCTCCTGGAAGCAGAGAGGTGGAATTTTAGGGAAGGTTTGGGAATCTCTGGCAGGGCAGGGCCTGCCACGCTCACGGAGCCGGATGGGCCCCGTGCCGGAACATTCCATGGGCAGGAGAATCCCGAATTCCCAAAAGGTGCTCCCGGGCAGGCCGGGGCTGGGGTGGGAGCCACCAAACCCAGCCGGCACCTCCGGGAGCTCCCCCCAGCCCTGGGCTTTATCCAGAGGGGGTTTGGAATCAGCCGAGTTCCTTTTCATCCCGGCTCCTTCTTCCCCCGTGGTTCCCGAGCCGTCAGGAAGCATCAGGGAAGGGCTTGGGTTCCCCGGCAGAGGTTAAAGAGGCAAAATCAGCTCAGAAAACAGCAGCGAGGGCAAAAATAGCCTCGGCTTTGCGTGGAGCTGTCGGGGTCCATCAGTGTCGGGGTGTTCCAAGGACTCCCATCGCCACGAGGCGGCTGCTGGCTCCTCCTGGGAACGCGATCCCTGAGGAATCACCCGCGGGAAGTGCGAGTGGAAAGCCCTGGCCGGGCCCTGGAGGGAGGATGAGGATGAGGATGAGGATGAGAGGTTCCCCGGCAGCAGGAAGTGCGGAGGAGCTCTGGGAAGGGGGAGGGAATGTCCCCAAGGGTGTCCTTGTGCCCGCAGTGAACTCGCCGTGCCCTCCGCGCTGCCAGCGCTGGGGCAAACCTTGCCCAGAGTGAAAAAGAATGGAAAATGTTGGAGCCGCATCTGCAAGGGCAGGAAATTAATTCCAGGCCGGGCTGGGGTCGTGGGAGGTGTCGCTGCCGTGGCAGGGGTGCCTTTAAGGCTTTAAGGTCCCTTCCAATCCAAGTGGGTCTAAAATGGGCGGAATTCCAGGGTTTTGGAGCTCAAAGGGAATAATCAGAGGGGGCTCGGTTTGCTGCACATCCCGGGAGGGCAAAGCCCTGATCCTGGAATTCCCAGCCCCAAACTGGGCTCTGCAAACGGAGCAGCAGCTCAGGGAGGCGATTCGCTGGTCCCGCTCCATCCCTGGGATTCAGGAGCCCCGGGACTGGGAGCAGAGGTGAGGTTCGGCCTTCCAGCCATCCCTGAGACCCTAAAAACTCCCAGAGGTGCTATAAAAACCCCACTTGAGGCTCAGGCTGCTGCAGGTGCCCGAAATGGGGCATTTCCTGGAGGGCAGAGCCAGGGGAAGCGGCCCCGGGGTGCGGATGTCCCCTCTGCTCGTCCCGGTGACCCTGCCGGGGACAAAGCCAGCCCGCAGCCGAGGTGCTGAGGCTCCTCCCGGTGCTTTTGGGACGAGGAGCACGGCTCTGTCCCTGTGGATAACACTGTTCATTCCTAATCCAGCACGGGAACGAGCTCGGCCGCCGTTAATGGGATCGGAATTAAAGCCCGGAGCCGGGAGGGAGAGCAAATCCAGCCCATCCCAACGGGATTTAAAGGGAGCGAGGGGAGGAATCAACTCCTGTGCGGGAGCAAAGCCGCGCCACGGAGGGGTCTCCATCCCGCAGGGAATGCTGGAGCGGGATCCTCTGGAAGTGCTCCAGGGGTGCCCGTCCCTGCCGGAGGCACTGGGAGCACTGGGAGCTGCCTGTGTCCCTGCAATCGGCTTTGCTGATTAACCTTGTCATCCCCAAAAGGCCGCCAATAAAGCTGTGGAGTTTCTTGGGTGTTTTGTTTTTCCCTTCCCCCCAAATCCGAATATTTCTGTGGGCGCTCGCTGCTCTCCCCCGGCACGACGAGGCCTTGCCGATGTCCTCTGATCCCAAACCCCTCTGCATCCCATCCTAATCCCTCCCTTTTCCCTCTGAGCAGCTCCACACAGAGCCCTCTTTGTGCCGGCAGGGCTGAGAAGGGCCCGGACCGTCCCCCGAGCCCTCCTGCACCATCCTCGCTTCTCCCGAAGGAGAATCCAACCTCCCCTTCCCACAGAAGCCGCGTGAGGAGAGAGGATGGGCATAGGGGTGCTGCCCCTGATCCCAGATGCTCCCGGGATGTGAATTCGGCTGGAATAAATCCCAAAGGAGAGGCCAGGAAGCCGCCTGCTCCTGCTGAGGCGCCGCGATCAGTCCCGAGCTGGGAACGCTCCGGGATTAACCCCGTGCCACCCCTCCCTCCCGGGCAGAGTCAATTAATGTGCTCAGGTAATTAGAGGGGGGCATTTCCCGCTGGATCCCGCTGTTCCCACCCCCAGCAGGCTCTGAGGGAATAAAATCCAGGGAAAGGGCGGCTGGAGCCGAGTGGAGCCGCTGAGGGGACAAAAAAGCTCAGGGGTCACCTGGGGGGGGCGAGGTTCCCCCTGGCACTGCCCTGGGCCTGGGAAGGCCGGGCAGGGAGGGAATGGAGAGGCCGAGGAGTTGGGACAGGAGCGGATCCCTGCTCTGGGAATTCTCTCCCTGGCTCCGAGGTGCCACGGAGACAGGAATTAACGAGAAAATCAGGTGGGATTGATCCAGGGATCCAGGAGGGATTGATCCGGGGATCCAGGTGGGATTGATCCAGGGATCCAGGCAGGATTGATCCAGGGATCCAGACAGGACTGATCCAGGCAGGATTGATCCAGGGATCCTGGCAGGATTGATCCAGGGATCCAGGCGGGATTTATCCAGGGATCCAGACAGGATTGATCCAGGGATCCAGGCAGGATTTATCCAGGCAGGATTGATCCAGGGATCCAGGCAGGATTGATCCAGGGATCCAGACAGGACTGATCCAGGCAGGATTGATCCAGGGATCCTGGCAGGATTGATCCAGGGATCCAGGCGGGATTTATCCAGGGATCCAG